TGTCAGGTGACACTGCTGTGTTTAAGGCTTAGGGCCCTTAAGGGGAGGGGTAACTAGAACTCCCCTTAAATTACAATCTGCCACTCCTTACTACCCAAAGCTGAGCTAGAAAACACTCTACAGCTCATCTGCTCAAAATGAGCCAGCACAAAGTTTCCTGGCAATTTAACATCCAGTTAATTCGCTGACCAATACCTAGAGGGGGGAAGACCCTTTCCACTTATTATACCATCTCCAGCTTAACACCAGCAAGACCAAAGAAATGATCTTCGACTTTCGAAGGAATAAGTCTCAGCTGAACCTGTTTCCATCCAGGGTGAGGACATAGAGGGCGTTCATTCCTACAAGTACTTAGGGGTACACCTGGATGATAAGCTGGAGTGGTCTGATAACACTGACGCCCTGTACAAGAAAGGTCAGAGCCGACTCTATTTTCTTAGGAGACTCAGGTCCTTTGGTGTGTGTGGAACACTGCTACACATTTTTTATGAATCAGAGGTGGCGGCGGCCATCTTCTATGCTGTTGTGTGCTGGGGCAGCAGCATCATGACAAAAGATACAAAAAGGCTCAATAAACTTATCAAGAAGGCTGGCACTGTGTTGGGGATGAGCCTGGACCCCATGGAGGTGGTGGCCGAGAGGAGAATGCTGACCAAGCTCACAGCCATCATGAACAACACCTCTCATCCGCTTCATGGGACTGTTACTGGGCAGCGGAGCACTTTTAGCAACAGACTGCTCCAGCTACGGTGTTCAAGGGAACGTTTCCGCAGGTCTTTCCTCCCGGCGGCTGTCAGGGTGTATAACGCTGCCCTAGGCTAGGACTGTTAGCCCTTCATTTGCTCGTCTATGGACAGCATGTTTACTCCATTGTACTTTTTGGACAATCAGTCTGTATAAACCTATGCACATTTTGCACATAATTTATTGTTTTTACAGTGACTATGATCAGCACATTTTGCACACACCTATGTATGTATTTATTTTTATTTATTTTCTTGTCTTTTGTTTTATAACTATTCTGATGTCTGTTTTGCTTGTCTTGGGCTGGACTGCTGTAACACATCAATTTCCCTACGGGATTAATAAAGTATTATCTATCTATCCATCCATCCCAGGGATGTTTCTGGGGGATCTGCACTATGCTCCAAGCCACTGCCTTTACTGGGAACCTTCTTCCAGCTGATCCCTGAGTTTAGGATCCCTTCTGATAACTGAGTCCAGGATCCCTACTGATCCCTGACTCCAGGATCCCTACTGATCACTGAGTCCAAGATCCCTGGTGATCCTTGAGTCCAGAAACCTTACTGATCCTCAAATCAGTATCCCTGCTGATCCCCGAGTGCAAATGTTTTACCCATCTAGAGCTGTGGACACAACGATTGAGGCGATCTCCGGCCACTGTGGCAGCCAGCCACATGGTGCCAGGATCAGAAACCCACCAGCAGCAGTCTAGAGCCACTCCTCAGCCCCCGGCACGGCCACAGCCCAGCAGGGATCCCTGCTGAAGCACACCAGCTCTTTCACACTGGAGCTGGCCTCTCTTCTCAAGGCTCAGAGCAGCAGTTATCTTCTCTCCACGGCCTCTCACCTTTATCGGCGAGAGACCTGAAAGTGCGCTCTCCCAACTCCGATCGGGCTGCCACCGGTGTGCGGCCCCTGCTGGGTTTCGAGGGCGTGCCAGAGGTGCAGGAGTGAAAGCAGGAGGCGCTCTATAGAGGCAGACGCTGTCCTGTGCTGTCTGTGGGCACAGGAGCTATTTTTACACACAGCTACCTGTCTGCTGTGATGCTGGAGGAGGGGGGTGGAGGGTGCTGAGTCAGGAGAAGGACTGGGAGAGGAAAGAGACAGATTGCACAGACACAGCCAGCTCCCTCCGGAGAGGCAGCACGTAAATCTGCCAGCGCCCTCGCAGCAGGCGAACCCCCCCTCCCTGCCCGAGCTCACCCCACTGTCTGCGACATCGCCCGGGCTGAGCCCCCGCCACTACACCCTCCATGTTTTAAGTACCGATTTGAGAGAACACCCCATTGCACAGCTTGCAAGAAATAATTCTGTTTTGACGGGCTGCTGGGGCTATGGCATGCAGGGGTCTGAGATATCGTCCGAGCTGAGCCCCAGCTGATATGTTTGGTTTGTTGGTAAACCTTGGTTCAGAAATAGAAAGCCACCTAGCTATTTTGATCCATTTCACATTTGACCTGCTGCAGGAAGATTCTCCAAACTGTCCCGATGAAGCCAGAAAGCTAGGGTGCTTCGTTCTGCTGCAAACTCACTTGTCTGTCTGTCCTGACGTAGTTTAAAATAAGATCGCAAAGCTCGAAATCACCTGCTTCTGTGCAAGGGCTTTCTGAAGCTGGTAAAACGTGGAGTGGCTCAGACTGCTGTACAATGGGAGTGTGACTGGCAACCCGGATCAACCCTGAGTGAATCATAACCATGTGGTGCAACATGAGTCTGATGAACACAACTGTAAAACCTGGAGAGGATCAGACTGCTCAGCGGGAGTCTGATTTGTCTGCTTGTGGCTGTTGCTCAGAAACCATTTATCCACAGCATTGCTAGCTTCGGTTCAATTAAGCTGCGTATGAGACACACGCCTAGCGATTGCTGTGCACAGCATTATGAGGCTGGGCTGCCCCGCACTGCCCTCGTGTGGAGGCACTCTGGTATGACAGCCACACGAGGCTACTGCAAAACTTGGGGCACTTTATTTTACAACCAGATGCAGAAAAACAAGCATCAGCAATTTCAGAAAACAGGAGCGCGCAAGCTTACAAATTGTTTTGACGAGGACGATAAGGAGCACATTTTGTCTCCTTAGCGTTCGGGTGTGTGATGACAATAAAGAAGCCTGAGTGACAGTAAGAAACCCTCGATATCCTCAGGCTCCCAGATATTCCATCCATCCATTTTCTAACCACTTTATCCAGTGAAAGAGATGCGGGGGAACCTGAGCCTAACCCAGCAAGCAGCAGGCGCAGGGCAGGTACACACCGACACAAATACACACGCTTCTCTACCAGTACGTCTCTGGACTGTGGGAGGAAACGCGTGGAAACACACAGGGAGAACAGCACCCCAGGTCTGGAATTGAACCCGGGTCCCCAGAGCCGCGAGGCCTTGATGCATACCTCTGTGCCACCGTGCTGCCCTGCTGTCGCCTGCGATGAATGAAAATCCGGTATAAACCCGAGGCAGGAAGAACGAGGAACAGAATGAGCTTTGGACAGAGGCACTCCAGTTTGTCCATCAGAGTGTTAATCTGGAGTCCGGCCAGTCCGGCCCACATTCAAAAGGGCTCCACTGCTATGACGTCCATGCAGGTGTTGCCAGAGGTTTGAGCATGAAGTCAACAAATGTCTCATAAGGGATGAGAAATCCCTCTCTCCCTCTCCTCACTTCTCCATCTCTCTTTCCCCTGGGCTGTTCTAATCACCCTGCTCACCAGGACTGATTCTGTTCCTCTCTCCCAGACACACATTCCAAGAGCTGTACTGGCAACCGATGAATTGCAGCACAGTCCGAGCAGTAATAATTAGCAAAGGTCCAGAACAATGGCTGATTACCCGTATCTCTCTCTGTTCCTCAGCACACTGAGTGTCTAACCCCCAGCAGAATTGGAAGTGTTTTGTTTTTATTGGAACCTGTCTGGGAATTCTGGTCTTAGATTATTTTTGGAAAGAATTTCTGTCAAATCCTGGAGTATTTCTCACAGTCCAACAGAAGTGCATCTGGTTTTGCTTCTCCCCGCTGACAGTGGGAGCACAGCCTGCCCTCTCTGGACAGCCATACCTGTCTGTGTCCAGTGTCTGTGTCCAGACTGCGGTCACTGAGCCTGTCCTCTCTGGACAGCCAGGCTGCCTGTGTCCAGTTTCTGTGTCCAGGCTGTGGTCACTAACCCTGTCCTCTCTGTACAGCCAGGTCTGCCTGTGACCAGTTTCAATGTCCAGGCTGTGTTCACTATGGACATTGACAGCACTGTCAATAGACCTCACTCTATTTCTTCCTCCCTCTCTCCCCTGTTGTAAAAGTCACCCTAACTCCTCCTCCCATGATGCTGAAGAAGAGGAGGAGGAGTTAAAGCCCCACAAAGTCTGCAGTCGCTTTCGGCTCTTTCTTGCATTAAGCGCCTGAGTTTTGAACCCTGCTCTTGCTTTGTGACCTATATTCCTTCTGTTGTATTCATATTATTCTGTTGCTCTATTCGCCCTCCTGCATGTCTTTTCTTTGTGAGCTGTTTCCTTTTAGGGAAAAGGCAGAAGTCTCCCAGCAATAAAAACACAAAATAAAGCTCAATGTTCCCTCCTCCAACCGCAGACAAGCACTTCTGCATATCGGAAACAAGGCACTCGAGTGCCAGTTCCTTCATATTGGAGTGATGAAGAAGGGGATTATAATGAATAATGGGACAATTAACAGGAAAATCAGAAACCTGTACATCGCTCCTACACTGCTGACTCACCTATACATCATCACTCTTACACTGCTGACTCACCTGTCCGTCACTCCTACACTGCTGACTCACCTG